TTTGCATAGTCAATGAAGCAGAAGTAGATGTTTTTCTGGAACTCTCGGGCTTTCTCCATAATCCAGTGCATGTTAGCAATTTGGTCTCTAGTTCTCTGCCGCTTAGAAATCCAGCTTGTACTTCTGGGAGTTCTTGGTCCACGTACTGCTGAAGCCTGCCTTGTAGGATTTTGAGCATAACCTTGCTAGCATGTGAAATGAGTGGAATTGTATGGTAGTTGGAGCATTCTTTGGCACTTCCCTTCTTTGGGATTGGTATGTAGACTGATCTTTTCCAGTCCTCTGGCCACTGCTGAGTTTTCCATGGATGATGATTTAAAAAAGCACACTGGTCCTTTGATATTGGCTGTCTCTAGCAAGCATGTCATTGCTAGATCCACTCTGGCAGCCACCTCTGCGCGCTAGCAAAAAATTAATGCAAATTGCTAAGCACATTGGACACCTTACTACTCCCTATACCACACCATGGCTGGAGTGCAATGTGTTCCAGCAAAAATAGTGCACATCTTTATCAAATTTGGTGCATCCTGCTAGTTCGGTACACAGCCTGTGTAGATTCAATAATATTTTTAATTCAAATAGTGTATGATTTCCTTCCTTTCGAATCAAGGGGGTAATATCGGCGTATATAAATTTTTTGCGGGGTAAAAGGTAAAAAAGTTCCCTGACCCCTGCTCTAGAAAAACCAGGCAAGGCTACATCCGAACATACATAAAACACACGAACGTATTAGCAGATGACCTCTTTTTCCAGCTTCCCTTTTTTTTCCCAAACTGATCTCATATTCCCTCTGCACTGTTACTCATTTGGCCTAAACCCAATTTCTTGTGCAGTCTTTTCTGTTACTCTTCTCCTGTCCCAGTGTTTGGTGGTCTTCTTTTTCCCCTCTACCCAATAATCAACCTAGCATTCACAAAGAAATGTTTTGTTAAAAAATGAATAGATTTAATGACATATGAGATTTTATAGAATATGTTTTTGTGAAAGGGAAAGGTCAGGCATTAGCATAAAAAACGTGGCAAATTTGGAATGAATAATTAAATTGATTTATCTCAAAAGGTCCTGGTGGGGAACACTGAATGCTGGCAATTAGGATAATTATTTATAAGAGGTATTATTTGTACCAGTTAGGATATTGTTATGTTTGTTGTTATTAATGTTATTTTCTTTTGTACTTTTATATTTTTCTTTTAGAATTAAAAAAAGAATAAAGTAAATGAAATCATCCTCAAAAACAGATTCAAAGCAAAAAGGCACAATAGCTTTATTCTGTATTATTGTAACTTGTAAACCATCCAGAGTGACGTGGGTAGCCAGATGGGTAGTATAAAATTCAAATAAATAAATACATATATAAATATAATTCCCAGTAGCTTGTCCTTCTTCATCGTGGTCTCTGTGAAATCATACACTGGGTGATTGACAAGCCCACTTACCGGACAGAGGAATACCACAACGTCATGAAATAACCACTCTACCAAATACCATGTTCCACTTGGCAGGGGCATCGAGTCTATAATGTCTAATAAATGTAAATGGTTGTGACTAGTGGCAGCTTTACAGATGTCCAGGATTTGCATGCCTCAAAATAAATGCTATGGATGCTACCAGTTCTTGTGGAATGTCCCTTTGACATAGATGGGAGCAGTTTATTTGCCAATTTATAGCAGAGGATAACAGTGTTTACAACCCATTTAGACAGTGTCTGGGAGAAAAGATGCTGCCTCTTCACTGAACTCTGGTAGCTTACAAATAATCTGTTTGATTGTCTGAAGCCAGTAGTGTGAGAAATAGAGAAAGCTAAGGCTCTACAAATTTTATTTAATTATTTAAAATATTCTTACACCACCTTTCTCCTTAAAAGGAACCAATGTACATCCAACATGGTAAGGGGTTTCTCCAAATCTGAGACTGGAGATGGAAAATGTAGGAAGGACTAAGGGTTTGTTCAGGTGAAAATATGATACAACCTTAGGGAGGAATGTGAGATCTGGGACCAAAGTTACTTTGTCTTTAGAAAATTGAAGAAAGAGAAGATCAGAAACTAAGGCACTCAGTCTCGAGATTGGGAATGGGTATCCATTGAATCTGAGGTGCAGGAACTGTAGTCCCCACATCAAGAGGTGGTTTTCTGGGGAGATAAAGTTCTCACCACCAAGTGTTGCAACAAGCATCGATTGTGATGTCTGCTAGATTGTTTCTGTTCTGACAGGTACAGATCTGATAGTCTGGATCATTTTGGCTTTGGATCCAGACATGAGCATGACCAAAGATCTAGTTCATTTTGGCTTTGGATCTGGAAAGCGTGACAATGTTGGTGATTCACTTTGGGAACCAAGTGTTCATGTGTAGGAGAAAAGGTTTTAGCTTTTGGAGCTTTATCTCAAGCAGAGTTCAGATCTTCACATGGGACTGCAGAGTGATGTAGCAAGATACAACCCTGGGTCTAAATTCATGGGTAAGACTCCTTGTTTAGCAAATAAGTGGTTTCAGTGGTCCTATAGTAAAAACCTTGTTTGGAGATGATGAGTCTCAATGAAAGGGACAACAACGATGTCCCAGAGCAGGAACGAGAAGGGTTTCTAGTCCAATAGCCAGATGTTGAGAGCATCCCGAATTGGTCTCACGAGATGCAATGATGCTTAGTCACCATGGCAGTATGATGGTAGAAGGGGGACAGATAAGGCTACTCTATGCTAGGGTAGTAATAAGGCATAGTGAAAAATCCTGGAGGATTCTGTGCGTCCTGGACTAGAACCCAGTAGTAGAAGTGTCAGCCTTCATGCTGTGAAACCCTGTATCTCCCTGTTGAAAGGGATGATCGTGAGAATGCATGGGATCAATCCCAAGAAGGGCGTTCTTGAACTGGATTCAGGGCACCAGTAATTGCTAAAAGTTTACCAAGAGTTTTCTTAGCAAGCTGGCCCCATTCCAGTGAGTAGGAAGGGAAAGTAGGTTGTCGGTCTTAAGATGTTTCTGATTCCAAAGCCAAATTAGGACAGACCTGCAACAGAAAAATGCTTGGAGATGATGGCTGAAGAGATGACTAAAGCTTTGGTTTTTTGGACTTAGCCTTGTTAAGCTAACTAGGCTGATGGGAATTGGTATGTTTTTGTTTCTTGGAAGGTCAAGCCAATCTTGAGGCCCTCAATATTGGTTGGCCTCAGTGTCGAGGGAGATGGTAATGGATGAGCCAGTCTGAATATCCTCAATCCCTAGGGTGATTTCACAGCCTCAACCGGTAAGCACCAATTCCACCAGTTGCAGCTTATATGCCAGTAGCTGTTCCAGTGAAGCTCTGGAACAAAAGAGCTCCATAGGAGAGCCTTTTGAGACCTTAAGTACTCATGTAGGGTCTACTGACTTAGAAACTGCCAGTGCAACTACTGGTGAAACTATAGGCATAGCCCTGTTAGGGTCCCCCGACTTCGGAACTGTCAGTGATGCCTTGAATGGGTACAGAGTACAGACTGGAGGATTTTTCACCAAAAAATATGAACAAAGGTGCTTTTGGTGGTTTTTAAGAGCAACTGCTGTAAATCTCTTACCAAATTGGCATTGTTGGGGTTGATATCATTTCCCCAAACAGAACAAACATTTGGTGTAACAGTCCAATACAAGTGATTTTGTTTTTGCACACCATGCACAGTTTAAGCAGGCCTGAAGAGGCCATAAACAGCTGGGAAAAGTGAGGGAGCAAACAGTAATTGTTTCCCTAGGTATGAAGAAGAGGACTGGAAGAACAAAGGAGAAGGACAAAGGGATTACAAACTAATAAACAGATTCTTTAAGGCAGGAAAAATGGTAAGGCTCTGAGAACAATTCAAAGATGAAAAATTTGAACAATTCAGCTGACAAAAAGCAACTGAAAAATGTTCCAGAGGCAGGGAACATGTGCAGTGGTGAGTGGGCATGGCTGAAGACTGATCTCTAGAAGAGCCTAGAAGGTTTCAAGACATTGGCGCAGGCACACAATACAGTCAACCCTCGACTTACAAACTTAATCCGTTCTGGAAGGAAGTTTGTAAGTCAAAAAGTTCATAAGTTGAATCAGCATTTCCCATAGGAATGCACTGAAAACCAATTACAGTAATCCGTTCCGTCTGTTTTTGGTTCTTAGGTCAAGGGGCGGTTTGTAACTCGAATCATTAGTTCCCATAGGAACTAATACAAAGCCGGTTAATCCGTTCCTACCACTAGGGGCAGAATTTTTTTCATTTTTTTCCTTTTAGCCTAAGATGACTTCGGTTTTAAAAAAGGAAAGAAAAGAGGGAGGGAAGGAGGGAACAAACACCTTTTCAACAGAACACCTTGAAAAACACCTTTTTAGCCAAGACAATCATCTTCTGGGAAAAACTAAGCACCTTTCAGACAACAGATCACCTTGAAAAGCACCTTTTCAATCAAGACAAGCCAATACAAGCACCTTTTGGGGGAAAGGGGGGCAGCAAAGGAGGGAGGGAACACCTTTTAAAAATCCAAAAATCAAAAATTTTAAAAAAGCCAAAAAATAAAAATACTGTACCAGGCAATACCAGGCAATCTGAAGACTGTCTCCAAATCCACTCTCAAAAATCTGGGAAGAGCGAGGAAGCAGACAGGCACCCTCTTCACTGGCCAACGGTTACCGTAACTGAAAGTTCAAATTTCGCGCTTTCCCCACCTCCCACACATTTTTTTCAGTTTGTAACTCGAATCTAAGTTTGCAAGTCGAGTCAATATTTTTCTATCAGAGCAGTTTGTAAGTTGAAATGTTTGTATATAGGGCCGTTCGTAATCCGAGGGTTAACTGTATAAGCCAGTATGTTGTTTCACAGAGACCACAATGAAGAATTCTGCAAATTCCCCAGACACTATGGCTGGATCAAGCTGCAATCCCATGTTGTAATTTTTTAAAATCTTACTGGTATCTATACAACATTGCATGTTTATACCTCTTACCATTTCAGAGATCTAAATATTTTCATTAAAGGATATAACTTCCCAAGTTGTATCCCCAAGCCAACATGGTAAGCTGATAAATATTCCATCCAGCTACTTAAGCTCAAACCTCATATTATCTGTCCAAAATTTCACATATCTAGTTCTTATCATTTTTGAAACCTTTCAAAACAAACAAAAAACACACAATCTTCCTGGTATGTTTTTAAAATAAATCTGAAGGAAATCTCTGTCACTACAATCTATTGTGATTGACTTTGGCTATTAAAGATCTTGGGCAGATATCTTTCCAAGCACTGCTACTTAAGATACTTTCTACTGGAGATGTCAGTGACTGAATTCAAGACCCCTTTGCACACAAGATGTATGCTGTACCACAGACTAGAATTTGTAGAGGTCATTTTTTAAATATAGAAATTTTCCCAGTCAGTAGCTACGCTGGCACAGAAATTCTGGCAACAAAAGTCCAAATTCTATTGCCCCTCCTTTTTTCTTTTTTTCTCTTTTTGCTGTCTTCCCCAGATATAGCAAACAATACTTCACCAAAGTGCTATGCATTTACCATATCATTTTTGTTTTCCATAAAAATGCTGAGTTTCTTCAGAAATGACACCACAAGTATCAGCAGTTCAAAGTTATCCCGGTCCAGAGCTTTCACCAGCATATGGACAATATTCTTGTTCCTCATCTTCAGCTCAGTACGGGTATCCTCCGCAAGATTCAGCAGCAGATAAAGGGCAACTGGCACATTAGGAAGAGAGAAAAAAACCACTGAGAAATCAAAAACACTATGTTCATCCATTACCAAGCACACAAAATATTCCCAAATTGTTTTGGACACCACAAGCTTTTTCTATATACCGTATTTTTCGCACCATAAGACGCACTTCCCCCCCACAAAACAGGGGTGGTGGAAAGTCTGTGCGTCTTATGGAGCGAAGAAAACAGATTATATTTTCCTGTTTTCTTCTCCTAAAAAATTGGTGTGTCTTATGGAAAGGTGCGTCTTATGGAGCGAAAAATACGGTACATTCCAATGGAATGGGATCTAGAGAATTATGCGTCCAGTTTGCTTCCTGACTGGTTTCAACAAAAACTGGTAGCAAGCCACAGCACAGCTTTCTAGATTTTTCATTTTCAGTGAGGAGGCAATGTACTATTTTCTGAGGCAAATTCAGAAACTTACATCAGTTACAAAAATAAAAGTAGATAAATAGCTCTTTCCCTACTTTAATCCAATATCACCTTCTTTAGTTTTGCCCCACAACTTATCAACATCAACTCTCCCTTAATGGAAACACTGATGTGTCAATATGAAATGGCAGCTCAAGACATCTTCTCTGGTTGCCCAGAGGAGTGGGACTCCCTGGAGGTTTCCGGAAACAAAGTGATTTCCAGAGGCAAAGCAAGGCCTTTTTGTTGGGTCGAAGTTTAGCTGGCAGTAACCAATCCAGCAAAACGTTAACATGACTGCTAGACTATTCTATGCTGTGATTATTGAAGCTTTTGAAACAAATGAAATAGTTATATCCCATCTTTGCAAAAATAAGTTCTGGAAAATATTTAGGAGCATTCAAATTATAAATCAGTAAGTTAGCTAAAATAAAAATCTCTTTTTAAAGCTACATTATCATGTAAAATTTATGCAGTTCAATGAAATCAATGAAGAGAACAAACTGAAATCAACAATATAAAAGCAATCACAAATGGAAAAAAGCACTCAAATATGTTCTGCTTCATTGCTCTGTTGTCATATTTCTCCAAACTTCAGGAAAATTCTACATTTTTACCTTGCTGTGTAATAGCATCCAACCCTATTTAGGGGAATGCTGGGGATTCCAGGACATTTTTTCTGATATCAATATTACTACTGCTGCTATCATTCACCACTCCTCCTCCCCCCTGCCCCTCTTTGACATTATAAACTCCTAAAGGATATCATGTATCACTGTCCTAAGCAACAAAGATACAGTGGTGCCTCGACTTACGAACGTCCCTACTTACGACCATTTCGAGTTACTACAAGCTCCGACCATAAAATTTTGCTTCTACTTGCGATCAGAACTTTCACTTATGAACAGAAAAAGGCAGGGGGGGGGAAGGCAGGAAATTCAAATTTCTAACTATCGATGGCAACGAGGCTACTTCTTCGTAGCTCTTTCGCCCCAGCAGTTAAGAGAGTGTGCATCGTTGTCAGAGGCTTGGGACTGCCTCCTTCTGCTTCTAAGCGTGTGTGTGTGTGTGTGTGTTTGTTTGCAGGGAGGCTGCAGGCTGCCTTGTAAGGTAAGGTTTTCTGCTTTTTAATAACTGTTCAGGATGTTTTTGCAGCGTGGTTTTGAGCTGGGGGGGTTATGTTTCTGTGCTGTGATGGGTCTTGGGGGTTTGTTTGGTTGGTTTTTCCCCCATTTCCGATGGGTCTTGGTTGCTTTTGGGGGGGGTTTCCCCATATCTGATGGGTCTTGGGGGTTTGTTTGTTTTTGGTTCCCCTCATTTCCGATGGGTCTCGGGGGGTTGCTGGCTTTTTGGGGGTTCCCCATTTCCGATGAGTCTTGTGGGATTTGGTTGCTTCTGGGGTTTTTTCCCCATTTCCGATGGATTTTGGGGGGTTTGTTTTTTGGTTCCCCCAATTTCTGAAGGGTCTGGGGGGTTGGTTGCTTTTTGGGGGGGTTCCCCATTTTTGATGGGTCCTGCGTGCTTCCCCTGCTTTTTTCTTTTGTTTTCTCGGCATTTCCGACCTGCCCCCTTTGGTCTCTGTGCATTTCCAATCTGCTCCGTTTGTTTTCTGTGCATTTCCAATGGGTCTTGCACACTTGATTGCTTCCCCCCCTTCAGCAGGAAGGGATTAATCGTGTTTCCAATAAGTCTTGCAGTGATTTTTTTGGTGATTTTTTTTCTTCAGCCGGAACGGATTAATTGCATTTCAACGCATTCCTTGGGGAAATGGTGCTTCAACCTACGACCATTTCGAGTTACATCCATCTTCTGGAATGGATTATGGTTGTAAATTGAGGCACCACTGTACACTAATAAAACTGCAGCAAACAATAATAAAATGTAAGAACCCAGCTTAAAAGTAGAAGCACTACTCCAGGGTTGGGGGCAAGACCATCTGGAACAATCGCCTGAAATGGACTCTGCTTGTATGCCTCCTTCTAGTTTCTAGAATCCTTCCTACAGGGCACCCAGTGGCAGTGACTTTGTGAAGGAGAGAGAAAGGCCAGTTGGGGCCGTCTCCTGAGGGGGGTGTTTATCTTCCTGCTGACTGACATTTACATCTAGCATCATATTTTTCTAAACTTCTATCTAATCAATATAGTGGTGCCTCGCAAGACGAAAGTAATTTGTTCCGTGAGTAGCGATGTCTTGCAAAATGTTTGTCTTGTGGAAAGCGATTTCCTATAGGAATGCATTGCAATGCACTCCTATGGGAACCTCGCAAGACGAATGAAGTATTTTCGTCTTTCGGGGGGAAATCGTCTTGCGAAGCATGGCCATAGAAGAAGCCGTCTTGCGAGTCACCAACACGATCGCAAAAACCATTTGTCTTGGGGGGGGGTTTCGTCCCAAGAGCCATTCGTCTTGTGAGGCACCACTGTGTTTTCATTTCCAACCTGACTCTCAAATAATCTGCTAAAATGCATTCTTCTGATAATCACTATCATGACTGGCATAAAGCATGGTGCTACAATCTTGGCTCTCTGCAGACAAGTGCCCTATGTAATCTGAAAGTAGGGGTCTTCTTTTAACAGAAAGCTATCTATTTATTTTTTTAAAGTTCCAAAACCAAGACAAGCACCATTAATTCAAGAATTCTGTGCAACACCAATACCTCCACTGTTCATATACTGAACGAGAATATGTACATTCCTTTCTATCAATTTCCATTAAAAACTGGGGTGGCGGGGGAACTGTTCCTTATAGCTATATCTTGGGAAATAGGAGTCTGGTACCTCGAAGCAGCTGTTCTTGCTTGACAACCAGCCCCTGGTACTTCTTAAAGGTTTTCTCATATTCTTTTTTCAGAGTTTGGTTATCAGGATCTTCATCAAGTGGATTTATAGAGTTAAGTAGCAAAGTCAACGCAGCAAAAAAAATGCAAAAAACAACACTTGTCCACATTTTTGCTCACATTAAACTACAGCAGTTAGTCTTTAAGATGCCACTTTATTTTTAACTTTTTCTTTATTTTTGCCTGGTGAAAACAAAACAAAACACTATTTAACCATAATAGATTTATATATAAAAGGGATGTGGTGGCACTGCGGGTTAAACCGCAGAAGCCTCTGTGCTACAAGGTCAGAAGACCAGCAGTCGTAAGATTGAATCCACATGATGGAGTGAGCTCCAGTAGCTTGTCCCAGCTTCTGCCAACTTAGCAGTTCAAAAGCAAATAAAAATGCAAGTAGATAAATAGGTACTACCACGATGGAAAGATAACAGCATTCTGTGTCTAGTCGTGCTGGCCACGTGACCACAGAAACTGTCTACGGACAAATGCTGGCTCTACGACTTGGAAACGGGGATGAGCACCTCCCTCTAGAGTCAGACACAACTGGACTAAATCTCAAGGGGAACCTTTACCTTTACCTAGATGTATATCAGTAATGCCCAGAGTAGACTTTGGTCTAGATGGGCAGGGTATAAATTTAATAAATAAATAAATAAATAAGTTGTCTCCACAAGGAGGAGTAGCCCAATACAATTACAAAGCCAAAAGGGCAATATCTACTGATAGGAGCAACCTTTCAGTAAGCACACCCCCACCTTTACAGAAGAAAACTGTTATTTTTTAAAGAGAAAACCACAAAGGTTGATAGAAGGTCCAGCCAGAAAAACCTGAAGGGGATCATGCAAGCTATGGACCTAGATTGCTGTTAGCATTGATGACTAGGGGCAGAAACGTTATTCTGAAAAGGAGCAAACCTGACTGGAACAGGAGCACTCTATGCTGAAGTTTCACTATTCTGTAACTAACAAAGCTAAGGTGAAGCGTACAAAGTTCAAAATGAAAGGATATCAGCTTTCTTCTTCTTGGTGAGTTCTTCCTGCCAGAGCTCATGCCTCTTCAGCTCATGATCAATTATATTCATGCAGAGAGCTCCAATTTTGTAATGTGTGATGAGTCCATGAAACTGAGAAAAGCTATATTAAATAAAATACCAGTGTGAAAAATCCCAATCTGGCTGACTAGCTTTAAACCAAAATAATTGCCACTATTCACTTGGATTGCACAGATCGGGGGCAAGGGGCAATATGCTGCCTGCGGGCAATATGTGCAGTACTCACTACCCTAGGATCTCCCACCCCCACTTTTTGTTTTGTTCTGTTCTGTTTTTACTCAACGTGTTGCCCCTTTTGTCACTTTGTGCTCTGTAGAGAATATGGGGCAATTCTTCCATGAGAGGCCTCAGGCACCCCAAGAAGTCCCAGACTTCCCATGATTTTCTTAAATTATATTTCTCTGGCCAGCAAAAAGCACATGGGGGCTTTTCAGTTAAAATGCTCTTTTTAGTTGAAAATATTTTCAGTTATCAAAATCACTGCAGTGATCCTCACAGAACTACTCCTTCAAATGTTTAATACTAGTAATAAATAAATAAATAATATTCAAAACAGCCCTTGTAGTTTCCTTCCCCAGAAAGTATGGTTCTCAGGCTGCGAGCCAATCTGCTAAATTCCACTGAAGTCATCCATTTATTTCCTGAATGATTTACATGGCTTAATTACAACAAGGTTCTGCTGTATCTTTACTATATTGTAACTTCCACATTGAAAAAATACTAACATTTCAAAATACAGCCATATACCTAATAAATTATCAGACATACCTAGAGAAGCAGAAGAAAATGTAAATTATGTTAGTAGCAAGTTCAACACTTTGTTTCCAGTCCTCTCGTAGAACTCTGGCCAATGCCCCTAGTGCAGTTTCTAAAGAAGTAGGAGAAAGTATGATCAAGCAGTGGATAACAGTTTCGTTTGGCTAATTTCGTTAGGTCTAAGCAAAAGAAAGTGCACCTAATGCATTGTTAACACTTTTTAAATGAAAGAACAAGAAACTCAAGTTTCTAACCATACTGAATGATTTACATTAACAGGAACATTAATTTTTGTATAATCCAAGTTTGCAATCTGGTTAGAAGTCCCCTGTTCTTCTGTAAAGCATATACATTTTTATTTGCAGGGCTATATTAAGGAACTCTTCTGAACAAATGCGCAGATTCTAGTAACAAGATTCATTGGAAAGTTACCAAGGTCACTAAATTCTCTTAAAAACCAAAATGAAAGAAGAACCCAATTTAAAGAAACTCAGAATACCGGTAAGTAGGATCCCATAGCAGGCAATCCCAATAAAAGGAATTTCAAAAAAAGGTGGGAATTTCCAAAAAAAAGGGGGGGGAGGGAATTCTAAAGACATAACAAAAAACAATTCCAAGAAGGAAAAAAGGTAGAAGAGAAGCCACAAAAAGCACAGAGGACCTGAAAACAAAAAGGACACATATAAAAAGTGGAATTCCAGGCCAAAAAGAAAGAGTACTGACAAATAGCAAAAAAGGGCAGGGATGGAATTTGGAAGACAAAAACTGAGAATGAGATGAAGATAGCAAGAGACACTAAAAGCAACAAGAAACCATTCTTCAGGTATGAGCACAGCAATAGACAGAGATAAATCATGGCTCAGTTACTTAGTGAGGATAGAAAAATGATAACAGATGACAAAGAAAAAACAAAACTGCTCAATTCAAACTTTAGCAGTCTTCGTCCAAAAACAAGACTATGATTGTCCTGGAAAATGTGAAATAGATGTCATGGGACAGGATTTCAGCCTGAGAGTGATAGTCAGTTAAGGAATATCTTATTACTTTGAATGACCAGATCTGCAGGGCCCAATGAACTGCATCCAAGAGTACTGAAGGAACATGTCAAGGAATTCTCAGAATCACTGTTTACCATTGTCTTGAAATCATAGAGGATGGGGGAAGTGCCCATTTCTTGGAGGACAGATAATCTTGTCCCTTTCTTCAAAAACGGCAAAAAGGAGGAATCTGGGAACTACAGACCAGTCAGCCAGACATTAATCTCAGGGAAAATTCAATAACAGATTATAAAATGGTCACCTTGTATGTATCTTGAATCTAGTAATAACTAGAAGCCAACACAGATTTTTTAAGAAAAATTCCTGCCAACTAATCTTATCTTATTTTTTGATTGGGTAATATCCCTGGTTGATAGAGGGGATGCAGACTTAAGCAAAGCTTTTGACAAAGTTCCTTATGATATTCTGATTAGCAAAGTAACTAGATCTGAGCTGGATAGAATAGCTATTGGGTGGAAAACATCTGGCTACAGAATAGTATTTGGACAGTGTGGCCCTTTCTCAAACTAGGAGGAGGTAACAAGTGGGCTACCACAAGGCTCAGTCCTGTGCTTGGTGCTAATCCAACATTTTTATTAATGATTTGGAGGAGGGGTATAAAGATGACACAAAATTGGGTGAAATAGTTAATAACCTGGAAGACTGAAACAAAATGCAAACAGATTTTGATAGTGTTGAGGACTGGGTTGAAAACAAGAGAATGAAATTTAACAAGGATAAGCGCAAATTTATACACCCAGTAAAAAGAAACCATATGCACAGTTACAAGATAGGTGAATACTTGGCTCAGTAATACTATATGTGAGAAGGATCTTTGGATTGTAGATCACAAGCTGAATATGAGTGAACTGTGAAATGTGTCTGCAAAAGAGGCAAATGCTATCTTAGAAGGATACTAAAAACTGGAGCAATTTCAGAGGGCAACAAGGATGAGCAGGAGCTGGAAGCCAAGCCCATGATTAGCCTTGAGAAAAGACTGAGGGAAAATATGGCAGCACTCTTCAAATACTTGAAAAACTGTCATAAAGAGGAGAGCAGAATCTGTTCTCAATCAACCCAGAGTGCAGGACATGTAGTAATGAGCTCAAGTTACAGGAAACCAGATTTTGGTTCAAGATTAGGAAAAATTCTCTTAACTGTTAGAACAGTATGACAATGGAAACAATTATGTTGGGAGGTGGTGAGAGCTCCAACACTAGAGGCATTCAAGAGAAAATTAGACAACCGTAATTCAGACATACTTTAACTTGTATTCCTGCATTAAGAGGGTTGTAGGTTCCTTCAAACCCCATTATTCTATGAATTTCTGGTGTTCAGTAGTAATTTCACATAATTATGTTTTTCTGCCCCTAACAAGTTGTCATCTGTGTATTATTAATGTTTCTTTTAACATTCCTTTATTAATTGTCACTCATCTGAATTAATGCCAGCTTTCCAAATGATATATTCTGCATATACTGTAGTTTGAAGAGATAGAGATATAATACACCCTTGTTTGACACCTTTGGGTGTGGGAAACCATTCTATTCATTAATATTTTGTCCTAATGGTAGCTTCTTGTCCAGAATACAGATTATGCATCAGGACAATCAAGTGTTGAAAGACACCCATTTCTTTTAGAACAGCTCATGGCTTCTCATGTTCCAACCAGTCAAAGGCAGTGCTATAGTCTATAAAGTATAGACTGATCTTCCTCTGAAGTTCTTTGGTAGTCAAAGGATATTTGCAATATGATTTCTAACATCTCTTTCTTTTCAGAATGAAACTTGAACATTAGCATTTCTTGTTCCATGTAGGGTAAAGGTTTTTGCTTCAACACCTTAAGCATTACTTTGTTTGGGGAAATAATGCAGTGGTCCTATAGCTACTGCAATCCTTGGTGTCTCCCTTCTTGAGGAGTGGAATATATACGGAAAGTTTCCAATCTGCATTATATTGCTTTGCTTTCCATATTTATTGGCATAGTCCAATGATTTCGAGATTCAGTCTCTGTAGTATAAAATACTTCCATCCTATCTAAATTTTCTTCTCCACATGCTTCTTCTTCTTCAAGGAAATCTGTCTTCCTTGCATCTTTCTGTGTATGCTTCAGTATATTGTTTCTACCTTCTCTTTTTTATAATCAGGTAGCACATTCCCTGACTGATCTTTCAGCATCCTTAATCTAGCTTTAAATCTCCCTTTGATTTCTTGGATGTTACAGAAAAGATCTCTTTTCTCTTTTGTTTTTCTTTTCTATTTAGTTGAAATGATTACTGTAATAGCTCTCTTTGTTTTGATGTGAGAGTCACTAACAGTTGTACATAGAATTTTGTGTGGCCACTGGACAAACCAGCAGTTGGTGCCCTCTCTAGTTGCAATAATTCCAGGCATCTCTGGCTTGTCTAATTTCAACAAGCTTTTATTCCCACATAGCTTATAGGTTCCACTGAAAAACAGCAAGTTCAAAATATATTGAAGAGAGTCATACAGTTGTGACGAAAAAACTGCAGGTACAAATACTTAAAATCCAAAAGTCTTACAGTTATGTAAAACTATAGGCACATAATTTAAAAATATGTGAAAACTGAACTTAAGCTTTAGGGAAATACTTAAGTCATGTTTGCATCCAAAATACAAGAGCAAAATATAGTCAAAATATAGGGCCATACATACAGTGAAACATATAAACAAAGTTTTAAATCACATTTCTAAAATACAAAAGCTTATAGGCCATGAAGACAGCTCTGAAGAGCCAAAGACAGAAAATACATCTCTTAAGAACAAAAATGTAAAAAGCAAAAAGCATTGCAACTTTCACTGGAAGGACTGGAAAAATATTTAAGCTCTTTAAAGTAAAAAAGCATTATTTAGCTCTAAGCATATTAAAACACACAGAAAAATTAATACAAACATCTTCACCCAGTCTGTCCAACGGTACAATGCATTAAATCTAAAGCATTCCTTGTTACAGGGCATTTAATAAAAGTTAGGTACCAGAACAAGAGAGACTGAGATAATGTGCCTGAGAGAGAAAAATTAGATAGTGGAAGAAGAGATTATCACATGGCTCACCTAATCTGTTGTTCTGGCCAGACTGTTAACTTTTTTTTAAAAAAGTGCATAATCGAATCTCTTTTCCCCTTATCTTCTGCCTCCAAAAACCAAATCCATATAAAGGGCTAACTGTGACTAATTTTGCATTTTCTTTTATCTAATACTTTAGATTTGTTCAAGTTTGCATTATTTATTTAATCATTCTATTGCATTCTGTCTGAAATTCATTGATTTTCCTCTGATTTCTTTTACATTGTTACTATTGTTACTTGAATAAATGTTCAAATAAGAAATAAGTGTTAAAGTGTTCAAGTTTCAGCTTTTGGAGGATTTTATTATGTTTGTTATATTGTTGTGTTTTTATCATGTACGTAAGCCGCCCCGAGTAGACTTTGTCTAGGGGGGCGGGGTAAAAATCTAATAAAAGTAAAGGTCCATGTGAAGTCCATTGTTGTTACTTTATGAAATAAAGTCATCATATTATTATATGCCTCATGCATGTTTTTTATGTTCTATACAGTATTTATACTGTTGTGTGTGCTTTATCATAACCCAAACAAACATCTCTTATCCCTCTAGGCATCTAGGGGAGCTGATATCTACAACAGCTAAAAGCTGAGGTAGTTACTAGTGAAGAGTGGCACTGACTAAAGGTGTCATTGGCTAGGTCTGCTGTTTTAAAATTATTCATATTAATTATACTATCAGTGGTGGCGAACCTTTCTGGGCTTGCGTGCCCAAAATGGGAGGGGGACGGGGGGGACAGCAGGTGGCGTGCCGCCGCTGCAACAGTGGCAGCAATGGACTCGGAAGACCAAAATCGTAAGTGGCGGTTTAAGGGGGAATCATGGCGACGGACCCAGAGGTGGCAGTGGAAGGGGGAATCCTGGCTGCAGCCACCTCATGTGGTTTGGCTGTGCAGGAGGGGTGGGGAGAGTAGCGACTTATGGCTCATGTGCCAGAAGAAAGGGCTCCGCGTGCCAGCTGTGATACAACACAGTGAAAGGTATAGAAATTTAAAGTAACATTTAGCTAACAAAGATGTTTACGAATTCTGTAACCTTGATCTGAAGCACAGCTGGTCAATTGTTTTGATACACTTAGATGTGTTATGAAATAACTAATAGCAGCAATTCCAAGCTGTAATTTTAAACTGCACTTCACTTTTAGAGCTTTTTCCTGCTCCCCCCACCAAAAAAACCACACATAACATTTCAAATATTGACAACAGCCTACATTTCCTATTTCCAATTAAGTAGTGTATCTGAATTCTATATTGATCATCTTCCTGGTTGCCTATAGCATGCAAAAGCAATAAATAGATTGTTGGAATCAGAGAATTCAATAAGTCGCTCTCCTTTGTTTCTGACTCCCTTGGCCAAATTCTCCAACAATATCAGATTCCGTTTCATCTAATCTCACTGGACCTACTCCTGAGTAAGTACAAACAGAATTAGAATGAAAAATTTAACAGTAATCAATTGTGCAGAGATTGAAATTTCAATTTAACTTATGTTCCTCAGAAGTTCAGGTCTGAGTTAGGAAACTCACCAAAAAAAAGAACAAAAATATTAAATACTAGTTTAAACATAAGGTAATTTTTCCTTCTCCATCTTCTCTGAACCTGTTAGCTCTGATTAGCAACAATAACTGATTTTAGTTCCAACTGCTCTTTTGGAGTGACTTGAACAGCTTCCATCGAGAAACAAAGCTCCATATCTCAAGCTATTCTAAGTGCCAGCCAACTGTCTCCAAACCCTAGGTTGCAACTAAACTGCTGTCATTTCTTCTTCTTTCTGCTAGAGAAGCTGAATCCTTTCAACGCTGCACAAGTCAACAAGTGAATGAAAAACTTAAAGGGAAAGTAAGTGTGTGCACCACTGTGATAGACACATGTACCAAGAATGAGGAACAAGAGGTCCTAGCTAATATACACACAATCTACTGAGACTGTACCATTTACTGAGTAAACAGCTAACCTAGTGTTATTTAAACAATTAAAATTACCATTCAGCAGAAGTTCTTCAAGATTATCAGGGTTTCTGGCTAGCTGCAGAATAAGTGCTGAGCCACGGACCTTATCAGGAAGATCTTCATAAAGTAACTCAATATATTCGTCCATGTCATTGATATTGGCTACTTCATCAATCTGAAAACAGCATGCAAAAAAGTGGAAATACTGAATACAGTACATGTAACAAAACAAATTACAAACAATTAAACAAAAATTTAAACATTTCCGGGTAGACCGATGTTTTTAGGATTACAAATTATATTAGTAACTAGGCAGTGAAATTGTTTATAAATAATTTAAAGTCAACCTTGAGTTAGGCATCTATGAAAACTAAAACAGGAAAGGCAATAATGTGGTACCCACATTACATTTTTATTTTGTAATGGACCTGCTTCCAGAGAATAGTAGAATATGATAATAAATTGTGTTTCAAATGTAAAACTTGCATTACTCCATGATTTTATCATATAGCGGGAGGGATCAATGGGATCAAAGACATTAGCAAAAAAATCATTAAAATGGAAACCTGAATAACATGGCTTTGCAACTCTTAAATATTTCTGATAATATAGCAAAATGGCATATGAAAATATTTTTGATTATTATACTCATTCTTTGATAGAGACATACAGTGGTGCCTCGCTAGACGATGATAATCTGTTCCACTGAAATCGCTGTTTAGCAAAATCATTGTCTAGCGAAAAGCATTTCCCCATTGGAATACATTGAAACATGTTTAATGCGTTCCAATGGGGAAGAATCATCGTTGTCTAGTGAAGATCGGCCATAGGAAAGCTGCTTTGCGAACCACCGATCAGCTGTTTAAATCGCTGTCTTGCGAAGCTTAGGTCCCCAAAACACCTGTTTTGTGAGTGCGGAGGGAGCTGTCAAAATCGTCGTCTAGCGAAAATCAGTTTGTGAAACAGGGACCAAACATTGTCCAGCGAAATTCCCCCAGAGGAATCACTGTTTTGCGAATCACTATAGCGATCGCAAAAAGTCAATGTCTAGCGAAAAAACTATTATGCGGGGTAACTGTCTAGCAAGGCACCACTGTAGAGTGAAATCCTACTGCCAGAAATTATGCTGCATAAGGCTAATAACATCATCAGCTGCAGGAAATTAGGAATTTTCAGTTCATCCCCCCTCAAAGGTCCCAAGGCTTCCCTTTCGTGGCAGTGAAGCTACCGGAGACAGAGTAAAAGTGAAGTCTTTAATTTTTGAAAATCACTGGCGCCAGAATGATTACTGTTCCATTACAAAAGGAATTGCCGTTTTCAAGCAAAATTCTGCAACCAGAGGTGGTCATAACTCAAACTGGTTGCAAGTCAAGACATTCGTATGCTGAGGCACTACTGCAGTGATAGTGCCTCAGTACTCAGGTTTTATTGCAGTGTTGGTACTTTGAAATAAATAAGTTGGTTCTGTGTTGTACTTTGAGCACTCGGGCTCAAAAAGGTTTGCCATCACTGGTCTAGGCTGCAGAGATTCATTTCACTTTCCTTAGCACATGGCAGGCCTTCTATCCCTGAGAAGAAGAGGAAGGCAAAAAGGTCACCCAGCCCATACTGGACCTAGGAAGCATGGGGGAGGGGGTGACAGTCTCAGAGAAGTGCCTGGTGAGGAGGAAGATTCTTTGGAACAGCAGTTCCCAACCTTAGGTAACCCAGGTGGTTCTTGGAGCCCTCACCATTAGCTGTGCTGGCTGGTGTTTCTGAAAGTAGCAGTCCAAGAACCCCTGGGTTACCCAAGGTTGGGAACCACTGATTTGGAACAATTTCCTTTCCCTGTGCAGCTAAACGGTCTTCCTCTGATCCCCAAAAGATAAGGAGCTTTATCCAGCCAATAAATTCAGAGTAAAGTGCCTGGCTGGTTATTTGGTGATGATTCAGAACCCCACAGAGCAGCTCAGACTAGCCTGCATCCTAGTTAGGCATCCTTCAGTCTCGAAAGACTATGGTGACGTGCTCTGTATGGAGGACTTGGAACAGCGTCTAGTGTGGCTGAAGAGGCCAATTCGAGAGTGACAATCTCTTCCACACTGAAGACAAATACAATCTGTCCCCTGTCCAGCTCCCTGGTTTTGCTGCTTTTGTGGCTTCCTCTTTGCCTCAGCCTGCTGGACAAGTCTCTTCAAATTGGGAGAGGCCGTGATGCACTGCCTGCCTCCAGGCTGAACGGTCAGATGTCAAGGTTTCCCATCTGTTGAGGTCTATTCCTAAGGCCTTCAGATCCCGCTTGCAGATATCCTTGTATCGCAGCTGTGGTCTCCCTCTGGGGCGATTTCCCTGCACTAATTCTCCATACAGAAGATCCTTTGGGATCCGACCATCAGCCATTCTCACGACGTGCCCAAGCCAACATAGACGTCGCTGTTTCAGTAATGTATACATGCTGAATATTCCAGCTCGTTCTAGGACTACTCTGTCCTGCCAGGTGATGCCAAAAATCCGTCGGAGGCAAGTATGTGTCGTCAGCTTCTTATTGAGCCATACTCTCTTTGTGAGTCTAGAGAACATGGTGGCTGCTTTGCCAATGCGTTTATCCAGCTCGACATCCAGGGAGAGGGTGTCAGAGATGGTTGAGCCAAGGTACACAAAGTCATGAACAACCTCCAATTCTTGTGTGGAGATAGTAATAGAAGGAGGTGAGTCCATGCCGTGGCCCATGACTTGTGTTTTCTTCAGGCTGATTGTTAGTCCAAAGTCTTGGCAGGCCTTGCTGAAACGATTCATGAGTTGTTGGAGGTCTTCAGCAGAGTGGGCAACAATGGCTGCATCATCTGCGAAGAGGAAGTCCCGCATGCATTTCAGTTGGACTTTGGTCTTTGCTCTCAATCTGGAGAGATTAAAGAGCTTTCCGTCTAATCTAGCCTGCATCCACACCTGTGGCATAACTGGAGTCTAGTGGAGGGATCCATAAGGTACAGCTCATAGTTGAGAAATACAAAAAGAGTAAGAATCACTGAAGAAAGAAGAGATCAGCTGAAGATGAAGTCAGAGCCAGCAAATGAAACTGGTTCAGCCAGGGTTGATTACACTCTCTTAAGGGAGCACTAGCACTGTGGGAAGTTTTTAGTCCAAAGTTCCATCTTGTGGCTATTAAGGGATACTCCAGTGGTGTTTAGCATAATCATCCTATTGTACTATAAAGATGCATTGTTCTATGATTCTCTCTCTGCGCATGTGTGGAATGTCCTAAAACAGATTGTTTCTTGACGCCTCTTTGGCTAAAATCTTATCTTTATGCTAAAAAATGCTAATGATGGTACTTAATAAAAAGACATGCCTCCAGAGAAGAAGGTAGACATTTTGGAGACATTTTTACAGGCAGACATCTGCCTCATAACTAAAGACTGCAGTCTGCCTTCATTCTATCAGAGATATCTCCCTGGTTTTCATGCAACTGCTGCTTGGGCTGGCTTCCAAGTGGCGGTTCCCTGGGGATTTTTCCCACATAGCACCACCTTATTGGCTGGTCATTTCTGCTTGTGGAAATAAGAGGGACAACCTGTCTTTTGAGGATGTCCTTTTCCACTACAGGAAAATTTGACCTTTTAAGAGTGTTTGCATATTCAAAATTATGACTGAAAAATAGATTATACAAAAATTATACTACTGTGTATGGATCCTGAAATCAATCTGAAGGGTTATAAAGAAAGTACAGTGGTACCCCGCTTGACGACAACCCCATTAGACAACGAAATCACTTTATGATGACTTTTTTCCAATCGCTATAGCGATTGCAAAATGATGTTTCTATGGGGGTTTTTTTGCTTTACGTTGTTTCGGTCCCTGCTTCAGGAACCATTTTTTCGCTGGACGATTAAAAACAGTGGATCAGCGGTTCACAAAATGGCTCCCCGCTGTTTTCCGGACCTATTTTCGCAACACAGGGATCGTAAAATGGCTGCCCTATGGAGGATCTTCGCTGCATGATCAGGTATTTCCCCCATTGGAACGCATTAACCGGTTTTCAATGCCTTCCAATGGTGTTTTTTTTCCGCTTAACAGCGATTTTCCTTGAATGGATTATTGTCATCAAGTGGGGTACCACTGTACATAGGTGTCAAGAGAACAATTAACTGGTAAAAGCTTCAAAACTGTAAAAGCTTTTGTTTTGACCCAGGTAGCCAGTTCAGCTGCCTTAATTAGCTATTGTGAACAAGGTGGAACATGTGGGTGGAAAAGTCCACAATGCTAAACACCGAGTCTTACATTCACAAGCTGAAAAATTGAAAGGTGTCATTAATGACCAGACGTCGAATGTACACCAAACATTATAATCAAACACTATAGGAGCCTTGTGACAGAAGCAGTACATACACACACACTGTCAAAGATACATAACAGTTCCGTTTGACTAGAAAACATTAGCAGCTCCTACCTCCATTCCTTCAAAAGGTGGCGGATCTTTCGGCTTACTGGATTTCTCTTTCTTTTCTATGAAGAGGAAATGCAATCATAACTTTACCTTTACAAAACTGTTACCTTACTTTAATTCTGCACTGATATTCAGAATCAAAATGGAAAAAAACTAGCTAGGGAAAACTCACTAGCATGGAATCAACAGTTCTATACAAGTATATTTTAAAGATTGCAATTAGAGATGGGGGTATTTGTATGCAAATATCCCTGTGCAACAGGACTTAAAGAGGGGATGGACCATCCACTCCTGCTGCGGCACTGATCCCACTTGTCCTCCCAGTTGCCTCTCTCTTTCCGCTCGGCTAGCCACTCCAGGCAGGGCGAGAGAGGATGAGTCTCCCTGCATAGCTGCCAAGTGGCCAGCCAAGTGAGAAAAGAGCGGTGCTCTGCGCACAATTGGAAGGACGAGCGGGATCAATGCCACAGCAGGACGCATGAGTGGACGGTCTGGCTCCAGGGGCTGGACTCTCATTAAGTCCAGTTGTGTGGGGAAATTTGTATACAATATGAATACCACTATCTCTAGTTGCAATCCATCCATTCAAGCATGTTTCATTTAAATATTACATTCAGATAATGTCTTACTGAAGTATTCTGCAATGAAGTAACATAAACATGAAAAAAACAGATCACCCTCATATGCAACCACATTACTGCTGTCCATGCACGGAGAATGATAATCTGGAAAAGAAAGCTTCCAATATGCATGAAGAAATTCCATACATTTAAGAACTCAAATTTACACAGCATTGCTCTCCATAAGGAAATAGGGATAGCATATTTCTCTTCTTATGTTTACTTTAAGCATGTTTCAGAATGCCTAAACAGGATTTACATTTAACTGGAACTGGGGATATAATCTGGCAAACCTACCTGGATTAAAATTTACAAAACAATCCAAAAAGAACCATTCACATAAAGCAGCCACTAGAAAGGACATTCTGGAAATGCTATATGAAATAGATCAAACTCAACTTTCCTGGAAAGTTTCTTTTGAATATGCGACGCAAGATAGAAAATATTTTCTTAATAAGCTTCTTCAACACCAATTCATTAAACACAGAGGCTGAAATTATGTTGTTTAATGTAGCAAATTGGAAACAGAACAGACCCATTTAGTTCAATGGAACTTACAACTGAGCTGACTCACCAAATTTCCAGATTCAGCCTACTCTAGTACAATTTACTATGCAAAGCAACAGGATTTCAGCCAAAGATTTTTGGAGAAAAAAAAACTCAACAAAAAATATCACCCTGTTCTCCGATTAAGCAAATAATGCATTGTTTTCAGTGTCATTACACCTAGCCAATAAAGATTTTCTTGTAAGGTCTGAATATTGTCATTACACCTAGCCAATAAAGATTTTCCTGTAAGGTCTGAATAGGTCTTTTAGGTTGAGAGACTTACAACACAAGCCTCATCTCCTTCATCTTCAGAGAAAGTGAGGAGCACTCACTCCACAGACAATTTTCAGATCCTTTTAAAATTGTTTTGCTCACCTTTTGCTGATGAAGTATCCTTTCGGTTCTGCAAGTAATACAGCAATTGTTCTACCTCCGCTAGTTTGGAGGGGTGAATAAGTTTACATTCCTCCACCACCTTCCGAGCCAAGGAAGAAATGTCTGTGTTTGCATTAAGACTCTTCAGCCGAATGCTGTAAAGTATAATTCAGGAGTGTTAACACTTAGTTTATGCAAAAATATATTCAGTACCTGTCAACGTACCCTCTAATTTTCAGTGCCTCTCTCACATGCAACTTCACCCCTGCATGTGCTCAGGACTCCACCCTCCCCATGCACAAGGTTTCGTTGTGACTGGAACCAAAGGAGTTGAACATAATTGCTGTGCAGAGGAGTAAGAAAGCTGCATGGAAGGACGGAGAGTCACACACACAGCTTACAGGGAACCTTGGTACCTGTCTTTTCATATATAACCAAGAAGGTCTTGAAATCAAAGTACAGTGGTGCCTCGCTTAACGGGTGCCCCGTTTAACGAGGAATTCACTTAACGAAGAAGATTTTGCGATCGCTTTTGCGATC